TAAGGTCACCAAGGTCCGTGGCCACTCCACCTCTGTTGGTAATAAGCAGGCCGACAGACTTGCTAACCTAGGTGCGGACCCTCATTCTCAGGACACGGTCCTGCACGACCGAGTCAAGCGCTCTGGATTGCTTGTGCGCAATCTTGGTGTCTATATCGGTCATTGTATAGCGTGGATATTTAAGAATGTGCCCAAAAAGGTTTGGGCGGCGGATTCTGATGAGATTCCTGCCCCCTCGGTCCCGCCCCTAGTCCTCTCTGGTGCCTCCTCTGGGGCCTTGCATGAGCATTTCTGGGACCCTTCGGTGGGCCGTTTCCGCTGTGTAAATTGTTGGGCTAGCTCGGTTTCCAAGAGCTACTTATTGCGATCTCAGTGCTCCTCTCCCACTGGCGGTGGGCACGTACTCAGGCGGTTAAATAATATATTTTTTTGTCGCCGCTGTGGCCGCTACTCGTGTAAGAAGGTGGCTGATTTAACGAAATCCTGCACTGGCCCTCCACGAGCCCCTGGAACCATCTCACGGCTCCGCCGCATGTGTGATGGACGTGACCCCCGCACTGATCCACCAGTCGGCGATGTCACTGCCGTTGACAATGTCAACGTTATATATGCCTTTCCTGACCCTCATGATATCTTTAATGTTCAGGCTCTGTTTGATCCTGCATGGCTTCTAGAGCCCGCGTAGATATCTTGGGGTTCTCATGGGAGGTGGGGGGCGGTACGACTCCTACGTTATTATATTATGTACGCTGGCCCATCTTGGTTCCCGACACCAGCCCGCCAGAAGTGTAGGTTGTAACACCAGGTGTGCCGACACGTCTATGTTGTGCCAAATGTCATGCGCCGACACGTCTGTAGTCGGCTAGGCTTGAGGATAAGTGGGTACAGAGGCGCTGAGAAGCAGGCACCCGTTCCGCCTGCGCCCACTCATCCCCTTGCGTGCTGTTGTCGCGCCTCCCCCCGCCCAGGCTCGCAAAGAGAAAGACTCTTGCTCCGCCTGCCGCGCGGGGTGACATCAGTGCATGCCTCTCTAGTTGATGCCACGAATCTCTCTGCAAGTCGAAATGTCCCTGTGCCGACACGTCAGGGCTCGTCGATTAGGCCTGAGGATGAGTGGGTACAGAGGCGCTGAGAAGCAGGCACCCGTTCCGCCTGCGCCCACTCATCCTCTCTTGTGCTGTTTTTCGCCTTTCCCCCGCCCAGGCTCGCAAAGAGAAGCAAAGAGAAAGCCTCTTGCTCCGCCTGCTGCGTGGGGCGACATCATTGCATGCCTCTCTAGCTTATGTCATCTCTCTGCCAGTCGAAATGTCCCTGTGCCGACACGTCAGGGCTCGTCGATTAGGCCTGAGGATGAGTGGGTGCAGAGGCGCTGAGAAGCAGGCGCCCGTTCCGCCTGCGCCCACTCATCCTCTCTTGTGCTGTTTTTCGCTCCCCCCAGCCCAGGCTCGCGAAGAGATAGAGGGCTCTCCGCTGCCGTGCTGCGTCATGTTTTGTTTGTATGCTGCTGCCTGGCCAGAGGTTGAGGCTAAAAGCCCAGGAGTCAGGACAAGGGGCTCCAAATTTAATTGCCAGGTCTTGCCAGCATCGCTTGTCTCGGGCCTTCGATTTTTCGTCGTCCCTGTTTTCGGTTCAGTCCCTCGCTCGGCTCTGTCTGGGTCCTGGTCCGTCCCTCGCTTCTTTCGGCCCTCCCTTTCGGGCCCCTCGCTCGTCGTTTCGGCGCCACGGGCAGGAGTGTTCGGCAGACGATCACCCGCGCGCAAATGAAAAAAAAACCCGCGGGTGGAATCGTGCGACCGCCTTCCACCCATGCGCAGCATGCCCTGAGCGATCCCGGTTGCTCCACATATCGATGCGGCCGTGCCTCCGCTGCTTCCGGAGATCCTCCCTCTTCGCCTCGACCTCCTTCAGCGTCACCAGCCCGTGCTTCGTCAGCCCTTCGCGGATCTTCTCCTCGAGCTTTCGTCCTTCTGCGCCGCCCTCGCGGCTCTTCCTCCGCAACCGTTGCATGTGTCTCATCCGCCCTCGCAGGGTGTCCAGCTGATGGACGTGCGCCGACGTGCGTGGGTCGTCACATTCGCCAAACCGGCGTTCCTGGCACCGAAGCGTCTGCGTGTTTTTCCTGACGCTACATCCTGGGATGCTCTCCGCCTCCTCTCCAGCTTCGTTCATTGCTTTCCTCATCGTGCTCTTGGAAAAGTGCTCGAGGTAGGGAGACCTCTGCCTCCACACGTCGTCAACCTACTCGTGCATCGCGTCCATGTCCCGGGGCTCCTCCATAGCTGGGAGGCTCGGCGGAACCGTGGTCGCCTAGGCCTCGTGCTGCAGCTGACTCCATCGCTCCGGTTCCAGATGTCCCGGGCAACCCAAATTGGCCGACCTACCAAGAATACAATTTGGCTCCCGCTTGCCCCTGTCGCGCCTGACCACCTGCAGCTGGGCAGCAAGAGCCCGGTAGTCTTTGAACGAGATGTCCTTCAATTTCGGCCTGTCACAGCACGTCCAGTGCGAGGCTATGTAATAGTCGGTGCACCCGCGTCCCTGTCAGCGCGTCGGAATACGGCCTCCTCTATCGTCTACTGCCGCGCGGAGACACGCTTCTTCTTCCCGTAGGAGGTCCCACAGTAAATTCTCCCCAGGTTCGTCGTTAAAGTCGCCCGCTATGCACCAGGTGTGCTTACTGCTCAGCGTCTCCAGCAACCCCAACGCGAACGACACAGCCTCGTCCCTGGCCTTGCCTGGCGGCTGGTAGAGGTTGACCGTGATCAGATCCTCGACCCTCACCGCCACGGCTTGCGCGCCCTCGCCCACAAGGTGGTCCAGCTGCCGACAGCGCAGCGCCTTGGACACCAGCGCGCATACTCCACCAGTGGGTCTGCCTGGTTGGTGGAGATTCGCCAATTGGGCCACGGCACTTCCTGAGAAGTAGCTCCTGAAGCCAAGTTTGCGCGCGCGGGCTTCGAACGCCGCGCAATCCTGGTCTGTCAGCCCCACCTCCTGCAAGAAGACAACACCCACCGTTGCCTGGCTCACCGCCTCCATCGCCTGCCACGCAGTCTCTCCCAATCCCACGTTGGCCGTCCAGGCCATGGCCCATGGCCGCCCCTTCCTTGACACAGGGCATGGGTGCGGCTCCACGTCTCCATCCTCCTCAAGGTTTCGAAGCCACCCTCCGGCCACCTGCGGGGGGCGCACGGCTGCAGCCATGCCCCCCCCTGCACTTTCAGGATGTGGGAGCCTTGCGCACCCGCCCATGCTGGCTCAGTAGCCTCTGCCTCGTCCTCCTCTCTGGTGCCTCTTTGTGCGGTGGCTCCCGCAAACTCCTCGCAGGTGCCACTGCGTCCTCCTGCCTTGTCGCAGGTACTTCAGCCCCCTCCTTCTTCCTCAGCCTCCTCGCGGGTCCTCTGATCTCCTCCTGCCTCCTCAGCCTCCTCTTACCTTGTCCTGCCTCGGCGCTGGTGCTTGGAGCCTCATCTTTCTTCCTCAGCTTCCTCGCCTGACCCCCAGCCTCGTGTGCCTCCTCTGCTTTCTCCTTCTTGTCCTCGTCTGCGTCCTCCTGCCTTCCCGAAGATACTTCGGCCTCCTCCCTCTTCCTCTGCCTCCTAGCGCGTCCTCTGACCTCCTCCTGTCTCCTCAGCCTCCTCTTACGTCGTCCTGCCTCGGCGCTGGCGCTTGGAACCTTAGCCCTTCTCTTCCGCTTCCTCGCCGGCTCTCCGGCCTCCTGCGCCTCCTCTGCCTCCTCATCCTCCTTCTGGTCCTCGTCTGGCTTTGCCGGCGCCTTGCGACCTTCAGTCACCGCCTTTTTTCCGGGGTTGTTTAGGCTTCGCGTGCTGCTGCCTGTATTTCAGCCGCGCTCGCACTTGGCGTACTCGCATTTTGCTCGTGCGCGCCCTGGACTCCTCGGCGCCCTCGTCTGGTCGTCTCCTGTATGGGGCGTACGTCGACACCCTTGCGCCGCCCCCGGCGCGCGGCGCGCGGAGCGCACTGGTGGGTCCAGCGCCGAACCACGAAATCCATTCGGACTTCCGACAGGTTGTGTTGATGCCGATGTTGTCGGAAACTGGAACACATACACTACCAGTGGCGGGCCGTTTCTCAATCCCAGGACTTTTTCAAGGTCGGGGACGACGTCGGGGTGGTGTATATTTTTTCTTCCGTTTTCCCAGGGGAACAATGAACAACGTATACACCAGCATTCCATACACACCAGGATCCGCTTTCCTGTGCGAGTTTCAGTGCGGGGCCCGAAAAAGCGTCGGTGTATAGAGCTCGGTTCCTTTTGTTGTTCGTCCGGAAGAGCGCTCGCCCGCAGGCCGTTCGTCTGGCAGACGCCGCTCGTTCTGATGGGGGCCCGTTCTTGTGGAAGCTGGCTAGCTCTGCCGGGCGCTCCTGGCGGAAAGCCGCTCGCCCGCGGTCGACCGCTCCAGTGCGGGGCGGCGACTGGGGGCCGTGTTTCGCTACGGCGGCGGCGGCGGCCACGACAAGCGGCGGCGGCGGCGACGATGGCCAGCGACGGCGGACACGGCGGCGACGGCGTTATTGGAGATGGCGTCGGCTGTGGCGACGGCGGCGGCGGCGTGGGTACGCCGAGCTGCCGAGCGCACACGCCTCCCAGTGACGGGGCGGGGTGGGGATCGAGCATGAGTTTTTGCTGTCGCAACGCTTCGGTTCCCTGGGCCGTCCATTATCAGCCCGGGAGGAGGCCTCCCAGTTCCCTCTCGTCGCCGCGGCCCCGGCCCCTCCAGCGCCGGCTCCAAGCGAGGCCTTCCCCCCCCGAGCAGCCCGAGCGACCCTCTGGCTTCTGACAGGGACTGCCCCGCGGTGGGGGCGCCGCCTCCACCCGCCAGTCGTCGTCAACGCGGCCGCCGCCGCCGCCGCCGCCGCCGCCGCCGCCGCCGCCGCCGTCGTCGTCGTCGTCGTCGTCGTCGTCGTCGTCGTCGTCGTCGTCGTCGTCGTCGTCGTCGTCTTCGTCATCGTCGTCGTTCTGGCTCGAGGGCCTGGACGGCACATTTCGGGTTCGGGCTGGAATTACCGCGGGAGGTGATGCTCGCGGCCGCGTTGGCGCTGCCAGCTGGGGGCGCCTGGTGCCATGGCTATGGGAGCGCGGTCTAGCCGCTCGGCGGCAGCACGGGCTGCGTTCCACTGATGGGTATCTACCTGCACCAGTGGACGGCTGCGGAGCCAGAGCCGCAGGCAGGGTGCGGCTGGCTACGGCGCGACGCTCCTCCGTTTGAGATGACGGCATCGGCGGGCAAGGCTAGCGGAGGCCTGCACGGGGACGAGGACGGCACATGGGTCCAGGTGACGAAGCGCCGAAGCGAGGTATGTACAGGTTCGGAAGTCGAGCTGAATGGATCCAGGTTCGAGGACGACAACCCGTTCGGCGCGCTGGAGGAGGCGAGCACCGAGGCGGCCGTTAGGCGCAGGCTACTGGTGGAGGCGCAGGTGGAGAAGAACTGTGGCCAAGAAAAATTTGCCGAAGAAAACTCGGACGGCGGGCGCGCGCTCCTGGCGGAGGCCATGGCGTTGGCGGCAGACGAGGCCGACGTTAGGAGCGAAGAGGAGGACGAGAGCTACGACGGCAGCTCCGAGGACGGCTCGGGCGGGGGCTTCGAGGGAGAGGACGCGGTGCTGTGGGAGTTCTGCGGCTGGGCGCAGATCCTAGGTACCGACGCGGGGGACTACGTTGACGCTGCCGACGGCTCCCTGCGCGGGGCGGCACGCGCCATGGAGGAGCTGGCGAGGGACCAGGGCACTGAGCTGGGCTTTGACCTGGACGACCTGCCGGCTTCGGGCAGGAGGGCAAGCAGCACAGTGAAGACGGTTTCGGCAAACAGCCAGAGGAGGGCGCCGCGACGGAGTGCAGCAAGGGCTGCGCGAAGGGCGTCGCTCCTGAGGATTGCGTGCTGGCTCAGAGTGACCGCGACGACGTAGGGCCACTGCGTGGAATCGCTGCTGGAAAGGGGAGCCGATCGAGCCACTGGACACGGCACACCTTCCCAGCACCACTCGGAGCCCGGACGTACCGGGCGGGCGGGACAGGGGTGCGAAGCGCGGCCGCAAGCGGCCACACTTTGCCGCGCGGTCTGGTACACTCGGCCAACCACCCGCGAGGCGAGCCTGGTATTCACTACCCCGCCCCGGGGTCCAGGCGGCACCACGCACGCGCTTGGCGCATCTCCACGGCACCCTGCAAAGCCCGAGGGCCGAGGCAATTGGTCGTTCCAGTCCCTTCTCCGGCCCCTGGGGCGCCCCCCGTCGCCACGGCTGGGCCCGCCTGTCTTGGGGAGGCTTGGGGGGGCGACGCACGAGAGGCGATCCGCTGCCCGAGCGGGCCACATGCGTGAAGCCACTGATTCCACGAATTCGCGAAGCGACCAAGGGGCAACCGAGGTCCAGCCAAATCTTCCCGTTCCACAGCCCCACGGGTTTCGGGACCATGAGGGGGCCCGATGGTGGGAGTTTCTGGGTTACCCTTGAACCCCCCCGCGTCAGGCGGCGCCGTGGTCCCGAATTCAAGCTCGGGCGCGCTGCGGAGTCAGAGACCCGCGCGGGCTCGTTGCACGGCGCGTGCGTCCGCGGGCGCTCGCCGCGCCTTGGCGCGCGGACCCGTCTCAGACCGTCGCCGTCGCCGTCGTCGTCGTCGAAAGCCCCCATGCGTTTTCGAACGTTTTCAGGGTATTTCGAGGCCTGGGGTGGATTCTATCAGCTGGGCCTCGTCGAGGGCGTTCCTGGAGTCCTGGAATTGTTTCCATAAGCCGCTGAAGAGCCGTGTCATGGCTTGAAAGCCAGGGAGCAACAGAAGTGGTGGAATATGCTCAGGAGGGGGGGGGGGCACATGGACCCCCTAATCGCCCCTTTCTTCGTATATAGGGGCTTCTGAACCAACCCCGCCCATTAATGTGCGGACTTGCTATCGGGGCTTTCTTTATCGCCGAACTAATATCGCCGATTCCAGGTCAAAGTTTCCCCCTGAGCCAGTTTTCCATAAGTTTCTCTAATTTCAGCGGTCGTCGGCCGTCAACAGCGTCGTCGATCGTCGGTCTCCAACGACTGCTGCGTTTGGTCGTCGGTCGTCGGTCGGCTTCGTTCGTCGGTCGTTCTCGCCGCCGTTTTCGTCGACATTCGTCGTCGGCAGTGCTCGTTTCCGTTGGTCGTCGTCAGTTTCGTTTTTCCTCTTCTCCTTGCTTCCCCTGCCCCCTCAGTTTCTCATTTTTTCTCATCGTTCTTCTCGTCCGCCCCTTCCCATGTAGCTCATGTCTCCGCCCTCACTCATCCAGCCTTCATCCGCCTCCTCTTGCTCCTCCTCCTACCCCTCCGTGCTCCTCCCTCTATTTTCCCGCCATCTCTCCTCTGTCTCCTCCCTTTGTCTGTCCTGCATCTGCGCGGCTACACACGGATTTGCCCGCCGGGTCGCCCTTCTCCTCCTCCACCCCCTCGGAAGAGGGGAAGCGGGGACGGCAGGGGAAGAGGTCGAGTGTGACGTCGAGAGTAGGGACGGGGGTGTCGAGGAAACAGAAACATGGATTAGGGCGCGCAGGTTAGCGACGGGTCCCGCTTTCATGCGACCGTCGACGTGCCCTATCGCCAAACCAGGCGGCATTGGGTTCATGTGTCGGGGGGCGTTTTTCCAGATCCTTGGACCTGGCGCCCACGCGCCATGCCCACGGATCCGGAAGCCATGTCAGCGTGTGTTCCGAGGTATGGAGGGATATTGGGAGAATTCGGAAGGGGAGGTAAGATTTTTTTAAACATCAACATCCACTTCGATGAGCAAGCTCAACGCCAACGCAGCCCAGCCAGGAGGCTGAGACTGCAGCGGCAGCGCCACTGTCGGGGCCATGCCCCCGTGGCGCGCCGAGCGGGAACAGGGAGCGCAAGGAGACCGTGCTCAGCGCTCCCTGATCGGGGTAGGGGGCGCCGGAGCCGTGCTCCGACGCCCAACCTACCCACCACCTGCACCACAGGTGGCCACGGTTTCGGACCCCGGGACACCCAGGACCGAACCAAAAAGGCGACACGACACGACGCGACACGACGGGGGGACGCAACGGACGACACGACACGAACGACACGACACGGACGAACGACACGACAGAGACGAGCCGCCGGTCCCGCCCCAGGGCGGCGAGCGCTGGGGGGGACCCAGCACCGCCCTGGGGGAGGCCACGGGACCTGGCGACCCCCCTGGGGGAAGGAAACCGCGTTTTGGCGGCGTCCCCCGGGGTGCGGGGACTATTCGCCCCTCGGGCCCGGCGCTCCCCGCCTGCGCCAGGAGGACCCTGGGGTCCCGACCCCTCCCCTACGGGAGGGGCCCCCTCGGGGCAAGGGGAGGTAAGAACGCGGAGGGGGAAAGGAGAGGAAGGGGAGGGGAGGGGAGGAGAGGGATGGGGAGGGAAGCAGACGATACGGGAGGGAAGGGGAGGGGAGAGGACGGAACCGCAGTGAGGCTGGGGGGAGGGGGGGGGGCGGACTGGGGGAACAAGGGGGTGGAAGATGGCTATGGGCTCTCTTGTCCCCTTCCTCCTCCTGGACTTCTTCTCCTGTCTCTCCCTTGCCCAGGTTTGTTTTTTTTATTTTTCCCAACCATCCTGTGGTGTTGGGTCCTCGTTTTGAAGAGAGCGCCCCGCGTCCCTCACTCTCTCCTCCCCCCCTCCTCCTTGCTGCCGCCCGCATGCGTCACGCACACCCAATCCGGCACACCCCTCACACGTTTCGTGGCCCCATAGGGAGCTCCACCGAAGGCCCCAGTGCTGCCGCCCGCATGCGTCACGCACACCCAATTCGGCACACCCCTCACACGTTTCGTGGCCCCCCATAGGGAGCTCCACCGAAGGCCCCAGTGCTGCCGCCCGCATGCGCCACGCACACCCATTTCGGCACACCCCGCACACCGTAGCCATTTTGGCTCAAGCCAGAACATTGTCTGCGGCACCAGCGCCTCTCCTGCCGTCGCGGCTGTGTCCCCCGCAGCCTTGCCGCGCCGGCATCCCATGGGACCTACCCGCGCCTTAATCACGATTGAGGATGGCACCGCGTACATCAACGACCGTGAGCTTGCGCGCTCTTACCTCTTCGGACCTCGCGGCATCGGCCAACAAGGTCACCCACAATGACAAGATTTCACAGTGGCTTGCAGTTGTCGAAGCTGGCATGCGGGTGCAGCAGCTGGTTGGAGGGTCATTCTCTACTCTTTCTGCCACAGCCATAGCGGCCCTGAGGAAGCTGAACACGGCGGTGAACGTGGCCAAACACGTGGACACGGAGTGCGACGACATGCCCATCGACAGCGTCCAGCAGCAGACGCCCCAGGAGCTGGAGTTCCAGGAGGCCAACAAGTGGGAAGACTGCGCGGTGACTCTACAGCAAAAGGAGAGCAAGGACCTCTACCAGTTGCGAATGGAGAAGAAAGACAACAAGGACAATAAGGACCCAAAGGCCAGGACAGACGAGCTTCCAGCCTGCCCCCAGGAGCACCCGCTCAAGAAGTTCAAGATCAAGGCCCGCGAGACGTACTTTTGTTCGGATTGCGGCGCAGACACCCCGATTGGCAATTACACGGTGGCGTGCAAACAGTGCGACTACGACGTGTGCGAGGATTGTGGCTGAGCCCTCGAAGTGCCCTGAGTCCCATCCTGTCTGCCGTCTGGTCTCGCCCTTGCCCTCCCCTGGCGTTTGCTTTCCCGCTTTCGCTTCCCCGACTACGCGTAGTCTATCCTGTAGAAGGTTCGAAGTGTACATCTTATACTGAGGCGGTCTCGCATTTTCGGGAGGGGAAAAAATCGGCACACCCCGCACACGTTTCGTGGCCCCATAGGAAGCTCCGCCGAAGGCCCCAGTGCCGCCGCCCGCACGCGTCACGCGCACCCAATTCGGCACACCCCTCACACGCTTCGTGGCCCCATAGGGCGCTCCACCGAAGGCCCCAGTGCTGCCGCCCGCATGCGTCACGCACGCCCAATTCGGCACACCCCTCACACGTTTCGTGGCCCCATAGGGAGCTCCGCCGAAGGCCCCATCGCTGCCGCCCACATGCGTCACGCACACCCAATTCGGCGCGCCCCATCACACGCTTCGTGGCCCCATAGGGAACTCCACCGAAGGCCCCAGTGCCCCCGCATGCACGCGCGCGCATGCGTCACGCTTCATGCGTCACGCGCACCCAATTCGGCACACCCCTCACACGTTTCGTGGCCCCATAGGGAGCTCCGCCGAGGCCCCAGTGCTGCCGCCCGCATGCGTCACGCGCACCCAAATCGGCACACCTCTCACACGTTCGTGGCCCCATAGGGAGCTCCGCCGAAAGCCCCAGTGCTGCCGCCCACATGCGTCACGCACACCCAATTCGGCACACCCCTCACACGTTTCGTGGCCCCATAGGGAGCTCCGCCGAAGCCCCAGTGCTGCCGCCCGCATGCGTCGCGCACGCCCAATTCGGCACACCCCTCACACGTTTCGTGGCCCCATAGGGAGCTCCGCAGAAGGCCCCAGCGCTGCCGCCCGCACGCGTCCCGCACACCCATTTCGGACACCCCTCACACGTTTCGTGGCCCCACAGGAAGCTCCACCGAAGGCCCCATCGCTGCCGCCCACATGCGTCACGCACACCCAAATCGGCGCACCCCTCACACGCTTCGTGGCCCCATAGGAAGCTCCGGCAGAGGCCCCAGCGCTGCCGCCCGCATGCGTCACGCACAACACCCCTCACACGCTTCGTGGCCCCATCGGGAGCTCCAGTGCTGCCGCCCACATGCGTCACGCACACCCAATTCGGCACACCTTTCACACGTTTCGTGGCCCCATAGGGAACTCCACCGAAGGCCCCAGCGCTGCCGCCCGCATGCGTCACGCACACCCAATTCGGCACACCCCTCACACGCTTCGTGGCCCCATACGGAACTCCACCGAAGGCCCCAGTGCTGCCGCCCGCATGCGTCCCGCACACCCAGTTCGGCACACCCCTCACACGTCTTGTGGCCCCATAGGGAGCTCCACCGAAGGCCCCAGCGGCCGCGCTCACATGCACCCCCGCCACCCATCCCGGCACGCCCCTCACAACGACAGGTCTCGTGGCCCCATAGGGAGCTCCACCGAAGGCCCCAGTGGCACCGCCCGCATGCGTCACCACCCGCACCCAATTCGGCACACCCCTCACACGTTTCGTGGTTCCGTAGGGAGCTGCACCGAAGGCCCCAGTGGCGGCGCTCACATGCGTCCCCGCCACGCATCCCAGTACACCCGTCACGCGCTTCGTGGCTCCATACGGAGCTTCACCGAAGGCCCCAGTAGCGGCGCTTACATGCGTCTCCGCCACCCATCCCAGCCCCCCCACCCGCAACAGCATCATGTTTCGGGGACCCATAGGGAACTCCAATGGAGGCCCCAGTGGCGGCCCTCACGTGCGCTTCCGCCACCCATGTCGGCACGCCCCGCGCGTGTTTCATGTCCCCATAGGGAACTTCACCGAATGCCCCAGTGGCACCCATCTCGGCACACCCCTCACCCGCTCCGTGGTCCTATGGGGAGTTCCTTTTGAACATGAAGCCCGCAAATGCGGTACTGACAACTGCATATGGTTGGGTTCTTCGCCAGGCAAATTCTCTCGTGCCCTTCCTCGCATCTCCCTTCCCCTCCCTTCCTCCCCTTCCCTTCATCCCCGTCCTCCCCTCCCGAGTGGGGTTACGGAGCGAACCTAGCTGGATGCTCGTACTTCCTTCTTCCAGGGGCCGGTCAGTAAGAGTTCCCTCTAACCCCGCATTTGCCCCTGGCCCACCAGAGCGCCTCCCCCAAAGCTCTCGACACAATCTTTTGTCCCGTCTGTGCCCCCCCCCCTGGTCGCCCCCTCACGTGCTCGGGAGCAGTCGAATTCATGGGAAGGGCGAGGAAGATGAGGTGGAGGAGGAGGAAGCGGAGGAGGAGAATGAGGAACCGAAAAAGGAGGAGGAGGAGGAGGAGGAGGAGGAGGAGGAGGAGGAGGTCGTGGAGGAGGAGGATGAGAATGGCGGCGGTGGCGAAGATTCTGTGGGCCCGAAAGCTCCAACATGGCGCAAGAGGGCGATGAATAGGGGGGCAGCGGGCGAGGAATCGGAGGAGCGAGAAGTCGTTAATCATAACGATCTGCTTCGCCCGCCTGGCCTTAGACGGGAAACTCCGCAACTCCCAGAATTGACCTTGGGCGAAGCATCGGATATTGCTCATTTTTTGCCCCAAGGAGGAGGAGGAGCAGGAAGGGGAAGAGGACGACGGCGGCGACACATGTTCGACGATGTCAAGGTTGCACGATGGCGCAAGAGGATAAATATGCGACCGCATAACAAACTCTATCCCTACCGCTCGAACCGACGCTGGGTACCGGACACACCCGCTGGGTGCATCTTGCAGCCGTCCATCAAACTCCGAACCCCAACCAATTTTTCAGAACTCTGGGATTCAGGGGCTGGGTTCATGCGTGGTTGCATTCGGAAGAAAACGAGGCCGAGGATGAGGAGGAGGAGGAGGAGGAGAAGCAGGATGAATTCTTGACGCTTCGCGTATCCCCACCAGTCAGGAATGGAGGAACACGACTTCACCCTAGAGGCCCCCATGCGCGTACTTGAGGTGATAGTCCAACCCGCGGACGTCAAGCAGATAAGCATCCAGTCCACACACAATGGCATACGTGGAGTACATCGGAAGTGGGGTGGCGATGTCCAACCGCCGCCTGGACGAAGACCTCCCTGCCTCCCCAGCCCCTGGCACAGTGCTCTCCCCCCCTGTAGTGCGTGACGAGAGATTATGCCGGCTGCAGCAGAGTGCCAGCTTCAACTGCGACGACTGCCCCATCACAGGGTTGCAGGGTGCAGCCGGCACCTGGGAGGATGACGATACCCGTGAACTGCTAGCACAGAACCGCGCGCAGCCGTACATAAAGGGAAAGATCTGCAGATGGCTCTGCGAGTTGTGCTGGGTCAGGTCCCTGGAAAGAAAGGGAGTCGAGGTTCCTGACCCCAACCAGGCCGATGGCAGTAGCAAGAAGGCTATGCAGCAGCGCCTGCAGGTGTACAACCGCAGGCTGGAAGAAAGTCGCGCACGCAAGAAAACCCGGTCCCTCCCCTCATTGATCAGCTTGCCATTTGGTTTCGGGCGTCCCAACAACGTTCCAACTCCTTCCACCCTGGAGGACGTCGTCATACGCGCGCCACGCGCCTTCCAGCCATTAAGAGCCGGCACCACCCTCCCACCCCACAGGTTCACTGATGGTAGGTTCGGTGCCGAAACGCACCGCACCCTAATGTACTCAGCTACGTGCGACACCTGTCCACCCGGTTCCCCCTTGCTGGAATGGAAACCCGGCCGCCCGGCTCTCGGATGCTTCATGTGGCGCCCTGAGGCAGAAGCGATCCTCAACGAACAGACTGGCCAGCCGTCGTGGGATTTTCATTCCTTCCCTATGGATCAGGCAGCGGTGGCCTGCAGGAGGTGCCTCGTGCACATCTGGAACGTCGCCCCTGGCGTCCTCGACCACATATTCGACCACTACTCTAATGATGTATATCCCGCTACCCCTATCAAGCGGCAGACCACATCAGAAGTTTTTGAGGACAGCTACTGCTACGACATGTCCGCGCACCTCTCCCCTGGTAACAGGGCGCCCGGGGAAGACGCGGACACACGTGTCCCATCCCGCGAGGGCCGTTCCGCAGTGCCCAACGAACAGCACGGTAAGCAGGGTGGTTCAGCCGAGAGGGGCCCCCCAACGAATACTCCCTTCCCGACCTACAGCCGCCCCCGGCTCCCCAGATGCCCACTTATTCCACCGTCCGTCTGGAAGGGGAGGAGTCAAGAGGCCCAAATCGTGCCCTGTTGAAGTACCTTATCGAGTGGAACCACACAATCTACACCCTTTGGGCCGCCTTTGCATAGCACCAGGGAGAGAGTCTTGAGGGCGACGCAACCGACGAAACTAGATGGCCCTTCGAGCAGCTGCTCCCCTTTCCGGAGTCAATCTTCGGAAAAGAAATCCCAGACAATGGCCGCCCCCCGCTCATCCCATGGGACGGACAGAGGGCAGCGGCAGCCAGGGTAGTCTCACACCTGGTGGAGAGCAACCCGAAGTACCAGGAGGACTGGGAGCGCTACGCAGGCAACCTCCCGAATCAGAAAGGGCAGGGCCCCTGCCGACAGCCGCTGCATGTCCTCACGTTGTTCCCCGCCAGGCTGGAGAACTCCGACTTAACCAGAGGTACTATTGAACTCCTCGCCGCCCAGCCCCAGGACGCGTCTGCCAGAGGCACGGCGCGAGACGATTCTCCCGCCGCCAGCTGGCTCAACAGGCCCCAGAGGAAGGAATCACCTGCAGCTGACCGCCACGTGGAGGGCCACATTGCACCCCTGGCCCGCCCCAACGTTCCACCCCAGCAGCCCGCCGCACCAGGCCAGTCCGACGGGGTCCCAGAAGAGGTGCTGTCCTCAACAGAGCGCTGGAATGGCGACGGCGACGTGGAAGGGATCGACTGGGGCGACGAAGCTGGCAAGAAATCCGAGACGGACGCCCGGGCGCGCCCCGGCCCGCCGGATACCTCAGCTGACTCCGGATCGCAGGCCAGTCCCACCCATCAGTGTGACGATGCCGGCGCCCCAGCACCCACGGGCGACAAGATGGCCCCGAGTCCCCCCCAGCTCTGGCCCCAACCCCCCCTCGGGGCAGAGTCAAAACCCTGGTCCCGATTTGCGCGGGCGGCCACCCGAGGGGCATCCAGCGGCGCATGGGCCCGAGGCGACGCCCGCCCCAGAGAGG